AGTCTGTAGTGCGACCGGAACGGATGCTGCTTCCACACCCACGATGGGGGAGTTTGTTGTAAACCCCCTCCTCACATTCCTGAATCCCTCCCCCTCCCCCACCGTCTTCACTGAGCCCTCTAATTCAAATGAAGATTCTTGGGAACCTGATCCCTGAAAGCTCATCTGTCTCCATAACAAGGAGTTATGAGTTCTGGGTCCTCATTTCCCCGAACCTATTCTGCCGTCCAGGCAGATGCAGGAACTCAGACACACAGGGTCCACAGGCTGGACCCTTCACAACCACCACCAGGTGGGGACGGTTCCCAGAAGCTCCTGCATTAATTTTATTGGTGGCCTCCTGAAAATCAGGCTTTGGAAGGATGAGATTCTGACTTGAGGGCAGATCTACAGAGACTTTTTTTTTTTTTTGGAGTTTGCTGGAGGGCACACTGGTGTAGTACAGGAGCTACTGGGGGCCAAGCTGCTGACTTCTAGGGTGAGGGAGCGTGGAGAACATAGAACATGGGGGGAGGGGTCACGACTGCATGGACTGTAGCATGATGGGGCCAGGTGATGGCTTAATTGATAAAACGTTTGCCTTACAAGCACGCGGACCTGAGTTTGGTCCCTAGAACTCCTACTTAAAATCAAAACACCTGGCACAGTGGCACACACTTGAAATCTCAACTCTGAGAAGTCAGAGCCAGCATGTCCCTGAGGCCAGCCAGCCTCCTCGGTGTGTTCCACATATGTGAGAGACCCCGTCTTTAAAGAATATGGTGGATGAGGGCTGGCAAGAGGGCTCAGCCGTTAAAATTAGACTCACAACCGAACTATCAAAATGGTGGATGAGGCCTGAGGAATGACGTCTGAGGTTGCCCTCTGGCCTTCAAATACACACAATTACACACACAAAGAAAATGCACACACACACACAATCAAACCAAAACAAAAGTCTCCCAAAACCCAAAGAAGTGCCAAAAGAGCAGGACTTGCAGACCTAGTAATTGTCACTAACCAGCTCTGGGATCCGAGAGGACTCTCTGGGGGGGTCTTAAATTCCTTGTGCACGAAGAACGTCTTCAGTCTATTCCCAGAACCTGTGCTCAGAGCTCGGTGCTGAGGCCTTTGGCTTACCCTTCTATTCCGTTTGTTGTAGAACACACAGACACGGAATGTGGCCTATGTGCCTTCATCCAGTTTTTGGTATAAAGCTCTCGGGTGTCAAGTGGATCCAGTGCCATGTGGTTGTCACCGCAATCTGCCTCCCCAACTTTTCATCTTGCCAAAGTGAAAGTCTGTCCCCATGAATGGTAACCCCACATGTCCCCTCCCTTCTAGCTCCCCACAGCCTCTTGTAAACTATGGCTTGTGGCTGCATGGTCATGTGACCAAGTGTGGGGTTGCAGAAAGATTTGACGACAGTAAAAGTTTTCTGAATGTACAGTTGCCAAAAGCTAACTCAAAATCAAAGGCATCGTGATTTTGAGATATCTGACAGTGTTCCCATGAGTTGCCTTGGACTTCACTGCAGTCTCGGTTGTGCAAAAGTGCACACACATGCACACACAAACACTTTGCATCGTGCATGCCGTGCATGCTGCACAACACCCACGAACTCTGCCTGTTGCTCCTCTGCGCAGATTTGAAACTAGTGAATGCTAGCATTGCTGTGTTCTTTCTGCTCTTACAAACACAGTATGGTGTTGGGAGCATTTGGAGTCCTGGCCTCCAGCTGCTCTTCCCTGCTAGAGATCTTTACTTTCCTTCTGATTTGAGTTCCTGAAAGCTGTGTCAAAGTTGTTTACCAGCTCTGCTTCACGAGCACGGGTTGCCTTGGCCTTGAGGATCAGAGGATAAGGTTTTCACCTGTTGGCCCACCTGACTGTTGGGTGTATAAGCCTCCGTGGTGCTCTTGAATAAAGGGCTTCTTACCAGTGACTAGAGATCTGTTTCTCTGTCTCTCTGTCTCTGTGTTTCTGTGTTTCTGTGTGAGTCTTTGTATGTTTCAACCTCCAGCCCCTTGCCTGAAGCTCATGAACTGTACGGTAGCGCATAGAGCACAGACAGGCGGTGTGCGCAGGCAGCAGTATGGTTTAATCACTGAAAACAAAGACTTTTAGTATGTACCTTCATCCTCCCTACCATGAAGTATCATATTAGGATATCTTTGAAAGGGATTGTGGGGCTGGAGAGATGGCTCAGAGGTTAAGAGCGTTGTCTGCTCTCCCAAAGGTCCTGAATTCAATTTCCAGCAACCACATGGTGGCTCACAACCATCTGTAATGGGGTCTGGTGCCCTCTTCTGGCCTGCAGGCATACACACAGACAGAATATTGTATATATAATAAATATTTTTTTAAAAAAGAAAGGGATTGTGTTGGACAATTTGCAAACACATCCTCCTCAAAAGCAAATTTGTGTTTTTTCCTTAATAGGTGATAAAGTTATATGCATACCAAAGGATTTTTAATTAAATCTTGTTATTTGTGCATATTTTATTTTCCTGTATAACATTTTTCAAGCAAAAAGTGGTCATGATGGAAAAAGTTTTAAGAATTAGATCAATTGATAAAATGCTTGTTTTGGAGCCATGTAGACATGAGTAGGAGCCCCAAAACCCATGTCAACAAAATTGTGTGTGGCGGTGTGGGCTGAGAAAGGGGAGACGGCAGATCCTGGAGCCAGCTGCCTCACCAGCCTAGCATGCGTGCCATGTTCCAGGCTTTATCTCAGAACAGACAAACAAGCCAGGCGGTGGTGGCGCACGCCTTTAATCCCAGCACTCTGGAGGCAGAGGCAGGCGGATCTCTATGAGTTCGAGACCAGCCTGGTCTACAAGAGCTAGTTCCAGGACAGGCTCCAAAAACCACAGAGGAACCCTGTCTCGAAAAACCAAAAAAAAAAAAAAAAAAAAAAAAAAGAACAGACAAACAAAACAACAGCAACAAAACACACACAAAGTGGATGGCCCCTGAGACCTGAACACAGACACACAAACCTCTCGTGTCTATGTCCGTTTTGTTCATCTGTGGGTGAGCACGTAGATTGCCTTCTCGTGGCTCGCTCTTCAAGGCACATTCTCAGACAAATAAGTACAAGCTTTTCCTTCTGATGAGCCTTTGGTGACCCTGGGAGTAACTTTGGAGAAGCCGCCAATTGTTTTCAGTTTAAAATGCGAGCCGCTTGGGATGGAAGCGCCCAGCACTGCTACAGGGGTGATGGGCGTCCTTTGGAGAAGGAGATCGAAGCCACCTGGGCTCTGACTGGCCTTCGGGGGGTGCCCTTTATGGCTCTCCCTGGGGCTGACTGTGGTCAGATGTGCTTGTGAGCCAAAGGCCTTTCCTCACTCCAGAGCTGCCGAACTGCCACAGAGAAGTCATTCTCCAGACTTCGCAAGAGGTCATGATGTGTGTGGACATTTCTGGTTCCGTTCATAGGACTTGAACTCCAAACGTGATTGGCATAAGGACCGAAGGAAAAGCCAGGAAGTTTCACTGGGAAGGCAGAATGTGGGAGGACATCAACACCACAGTGCCCAACACCACAGCCCAGAGCGACAGAACAGCTTAGATCAAGCCAAGCTTGGCCGGGACAGGGAGCAGGTGACAGGGTCAGCTGGGAGTTGTTTTAGCATATTTTTTTCCTTTAAAAAAAATATTTATTTATGAGTGCTCTTTCTGCATGTGTGCCCGCATGCCACAAGAGGGCACAGATCCCGCTATAGGTGATTGTGAGTCCTTGGTTCAGAGCCCCAGGAAGAACAGCCAATGCTCTTAACCACTGAGTCGTCTCTCCAACCTTGCTTTAGAACCTTAAGGACTGGGTTCGGATTTCAGTTTTTCTCCTTCTAGTTGGAGCAGAGCTTACTTTTCCTCAAATTCACTTTTTTTTCACTTGTAAAATAGGGGCATTATTGATATTGGATGAAATTATTTGGATAAAATAAATTTATAGAGGTGAGATGACTCTCACAATATCACAGGGCCTGCTCTTCATCGGTTCTGAGAACAAACTCCCAGGATCCTGCTAAATTGGGCAAGTTCGGGCTCCATGCTCAGTTGGATTTGCAAGTCTCTGGGTGCAATCCCAAACATCCTTCCAAAAAGGCCTTTCTAACAAAAACCATTTAAGAAACTTTTCTCCTCCTCTTGATATCAAAAATCTACTTTAAATCATGAGGGGTTTTTTGGTATTATTTGCATATTGATGGGCCTAAGATTACCTTTGGGCCAGGGAAATGGGTTTGCAGGTAAAAGTTATTATGGCTGCACAAACCTAAAGACCTAAATTCAGTCTTAGAACCCATGTTAGGAGCTGGAGCTGGCTGGGTGCATCTGTGACACCAGCACTGGTGGGGTGGGAAGTGTCAAGAGAAGACTCTGCCCCCCACCCCTATCCCTGGAAGCTTGCTTTGAGTATGTAACACAGCAGCAGAAATAACAAGAGAAACTCTGCCTCAAATGAAGGGGAAGATGAGGACCAGTCCCTAAAAGTTGTTCTCTGTTTCTTCCATGTGTCAAGCACACACACACACACACACACACACACACACACACACACACACACTTTTCCTCTGTGTCCACATCAAATGCTTTGTCTTTGGGGGATCTGGTAGGCAGGTTTTCTTAATAGGTATGAAGCCATGTGTCTAAGTAAAGGATTCTCTATGCTTTAAAAATAATAATTAACAGGGCTGGAGAAATGACTCAGGGGTTAAGAACACTGGCTGCTCTTCCAGAGGACCTGGGTTTAGTTCCCAGGTTCTACATGGTGGCTCACAACCATCTGTAATTCTAGATCCAGGGCATCAGATGCCCTCTTCTGACCTTCATGGGCACCAGGCATGTATGTGGCATACAGACATACATGCAAACAAAACACCTACACATGTACAATCTTTAAAGAAAAGAAAACAAAAACAATTAACAATGATAATACAAGAGAAAACCTTCAGCATCCAATCAAAACTCTCCAGGCAGTCACTTAAAAAAGAACTCTTTTTTTAAAGGCTCACTTTTATTTACTACAAAGGGTTCACTCTTTAAGAAGACCCATGGGGTTGGAAGAGAAGCAAAGGGGAAATACGTCAAGACCATAGCCTGTAAACAGAGACCACTACTATTAATAGGACGTGTAGAACACTGCGCGTTTGGTAAGTGTGGAAGTATTAAAGAACTTCCTCTTTCCCAGTGCTGGTTGGGGCTGGGGCAGAGGTAGGTTCAGCCTTCTGCTCATCCTTGCTGATGTAACTCAATGAGCCGACCTGCAAACACAGCCAGTGTCCCGATGAGACACACCAGCATAAAGACTCCAAGGAGAATGTGGTCCATCACCATGGCAACATACTTCCATTCCTCTGATGCCTGGGAGGGAAAAGAGCATGAGACAGGAATCCCTTAAGATGGGACACAGGCTCATAGCATCCCCGACTGGCCTGGCCTTCAGTATGTAAATCTCCAAGCCTTAACACTTGAGGCTGATATTTTGATCTTTAGATTTTGTGGAATTGTTTTCCACCAAAGTGAGTTACTAGAATGGCCTAGAAGCAGTCAGCACAGCACTTCTGAGGACAGTAACTGGAGGTTGAAGCCGATTCACTGGTCATGCCAAACCCACCTGTCACACTCGTGCATTTGATTATTTAAGCCCCGAGGTGTGAACTGGAAAGCTTACATTATTGGACTCCTGGTCTAACTTCATGGTCTCCGCGATGTACTTAACACCCTCGATGGCACTTTTCACCTCTGGGTGCCTGATCAGGGGAGAGTGGAAGCCCACAGGTGGAGGCCCCGGCTTCCCGGAAATGTCAGAGATGTCTATGTCTTCTGTAAAAATCTTTTTCTCTTGCTTATCTCTGGATGGTCTTTTCATTGTGGAGAAAAACATAACGTTTGGGATAGTGTCGATAAAAACCTAACATAAAGAAGAGATCCACGGCATGAGACTTCTTGTCAACATTTCAAGAACCACCATCTTTGAATTAGAAGTGTAATCTTGCACAAATCACTCAGCATCTCCAGACCTCACCCTCCCTGTCCTTAAAACCGAAAGATTGCACTACAGGTCAAGAACAATACGTCTCCTGGCTGTAGTCTACAGCTATGATTCTGTAATGTGAGCAGCTTGCCACTGGAGGGAGCCTTTGTGCAGGCACCTCCGCTGCATTACCAGACTCTGCAGTCAACAGAAAGTGTGTTCCCAGGAACCTAGATTATAGACCGGTCCTGCAGCCTTAAGCATGTAAATGTTTAGCCCACAGAATAGAATAACTTGACTGTTTTCTTCTGCGTTTTGTTCCTGATGTTACACATGACAGAATTATCTAACAGGGACAAGTTGGTGTCCTCCAGAAAGCCTACACAGTGAGCCACGATTACTGATACAGTTAAGTGTCTGTATGACGCTTATAAAAAGTGGGCATATTTGGCTCAGTGGTCCAGTGCTTGTCAAGAATGTTCGGGGCCCTGAGTTCCATCCCCAGCATGATTACAAAATTAATTGATTGAAATAAAAAGACACATGGGAGGTATAACACATGTTCAGTTCCACAATAGAAATATTTGCGAGCACACACTCTCGTCAGGGCTCTCCTCTCTCTCTCCTCCTTATTCTATTCTCAACTGATGAGAAGTTGAGTTCTCAACAGATGAGAAACACACCAATACAAATCTTAAGAATGTCCTTGCCTGGCGTGGTGGCCCACACCTTTAATCCCAGGACTCATGAGGCAGAGACAGGTAGATCTCTGTAAATCTGGGAACAACCTGGTCTACAGAGTGAGTTCCAGGGCCACTGGGACTACACAGAAAAATCCTGTCTTGAAAAACCAAAACCAATCAACAAAACAAACAAAATAAAAAAAAAAAAAAAGAATGTCCAAGCGATAAGACAGGGGTCTATTCATTTCTAATCAGAGATTTCATAAGGTTGAACAGGCTTTATCCATTTACTCTTCTCTGTCCAGGAAGGCTACCTGTACCCACAAAAACTGCTCCAAGTTCCTAAGTCCAAGAGGGACTTTCAGTCCTACATATTGTCGTTGGTCCCTCAACACTCACCTTCCGCACCCACTCAGGCATGATGTGTGTGCTGGGCGAGCGGTGGTGTGTATTGATGACAATGACGGTGATGATGATGGATGCAATGACGAACACCATGGTGAACAGCATGTACTTCCCGATCAAAGGCACGGCACTGGAGGTGGACGGGATCAGCTCCACAATGACCAGAAGGAACACAGTGAGGGACAGCAAGACAGAGATACTCAGCGTCATCTTCTCCCCTAAAAAGACAAAAGGAAGAAATGCTACAACCATCCCTTCCTGGAACCCCAAGACTTCAAGAGTGTGGGCTGTGCTTGGATAGGAGACCATTAAGGAGATAATTAAGGCAAAACGAGAGTGGGGAGGGGGATTATTGGCGTCACAGCAAGGGGTACTGTGGACATGGATCCGCACAGGGAGGACCATGTGAGAACATGGAGAAGGTGGCCTCTGATAGGCTGGGAGATTGGCCTGAGATGGACGAAGCCCATTGGCTCCCTGCTCTCAGTTTGAGTTTTCAGAGCTAAGAAGACAGAAGCTGGTATTGTTTAGAACACCCCATCTGTGAATTCCCATCAAGGCCGTTCTTGTACCCTCATCTGCCACCAAAGTCCAAGGTGAAGAAACATGGCCGGCATGCTCTCAAGGGTTAATTTGGGGACTTCTTTCCTGTGTGACCGCAGCGTCTTAACTCTACTGACAGCGTCGAGCAGCCGGTGTTTCCACTCCATCTTGCCAAGCAGTGAATTTCATGGCCTAAACTCTTCTTTTTTGTTGGGACTCAGGAAAACAGGGGGGATTCTGGGCTGGCAAGCTAGACAAAGGTGGGAGTGGGGCTGAACTTCAGGACTAGTTCTCTTGTTAGCCAGCAGGTGGCTGGGCAGCCCAGAAATACACTTCTCTCAGTATGAAGCAAGCTGCAAGGCCAAACTGAAAAAGAGACCAAATCTGCCAATGAGGAGCTGTCTTCAGGATGCCCTGGGGACTCTGAACCCCTGCCTCCTCTCACTCTTGTCTAGAAAGTTTGACTTTCACACATTTCTCGGTTTGTTTTATTTTTCATAGTAAGGATCCCCTTAAGTCCCTGTCTTTTTCCTGCAGGCCCGAGTCTCAGAAGTCCTGGCTGAGCAGGCAGCAAGAAGGGTGGTGGGGTGCTATAGAGAACCTTGGGCTGCTCTTGTTGGGGTCCCTGGGGAGTCTCTCCTACTGCCCTGCCTGCTGTTACTGTGGTCTTCTTCGTATGTGGTCTTCCAGATGGTAGGTGGACAGTCAGCCTTCTGTACCTGCAGATTTTGCAAGGATTCAATCAAACTCAGGTTGGAGAGATTCAGGAAAATTGAACCGTATCTATACTGCACATATGCAGGCTTTTCTGCCACTGCCTTCCAGACAATGCAGCATGGTAACTATTTGTGTAGCCTTTACAGCTTATCAGAAAATAATTTTAAGTCTCAAAGGTTGTGCAGAAATTCCATGTGACTACGATGCCATTTTATATGAGGGACTTGAGCATCCTTGGATTCCAGGACCTGCGGGCATCCTAGAACGGGTTCCCTGTGACTCCTGAGGAGCGACTAAATAAGGAAGACACAGAGTAAAACAGGGAATCCTCAGTTCTGCCCCCAAGAAGTTAGAATTATAAATATTAAGTTACCATTATTTACCATTTCTTATCTAGTTATACAATTTAGTTATGTACTAAGTAATCATAACTCTTCTGTTATACGGTCATAATTCAGCATTTATAGATGCTAATTAGTTTGCATATTGCTTTGTCAGCGTTTTTCTACTTGCTTTCAGAAGTTTCATTTGCTTGGGAAGCTGGAAATATTTATTTGCACTTACTTGTTCAGAAAGAAATATGGGAGGCAAGAGAGAGGGCTCAGCAGTCAAGAGCGCTGGCTGCTCCGTCCCGGCGCCCACATTAAAACTCACAACCATCCAGAACTCCGGTTCCAGGGGAACGGATGTTCTCTTTTGGCCATTAGCATCAGGCACACACATGTAGCATACAGACACACATGCAGGCATAATACTCACACACATAAAAATAAATAAGTAGAAATACTGGGGTGTGCCGTGTGGTGGTGGCACACACCTTTAATCCCAGCACTCGGGAGGCAGAGGCAGGTAGATCTCTGTGAGTTCGAGGCCAGCCTGGTCTATACAGGGAGTTCCAGGACAGGCTCCAAAGCTATAAGGATGTGTGGGGCTGGAGAGATGGCTGAATGGTCAAGAGCACTTGTTGCTCTTCCAGGGAACCTGAGTTCGGTTCCTGCTATGAGCTCTAACTGGTATCACACAGCCACTTGGTGACTGTCCGTCTGCACCCTGCCCACAGCAACGACGAACTGGGTCCCTGTGCCTCTGTTAGCACACAGTTATTCCTGGCTCCCCCTAAAATAGCAGCGCAAGCTCCATAGCAGCTGTAGTCATGGCAACCGCGCTCACCTGAGTCTGTGGGCAGGTAGAACACCAGGCTGGTTAGGAAGGAGAAGAGCAGGCAGGGAATGATGACGTTGACGATGAAGTAGAGGGGCAGGCGCTGCATGACGAAGTGGTAGGTGATGTCCAGGTATGGGGTGTTGGGGCAGCAGGAGTAAAACACCCAGTGCTTCCAGCCCCTGGCTTCCTTGATCACCCACTCCCCGCTCTCCATGAAGTTACTCAGGTCTGGCTGGTCACTTTCCTGAGAAACAAAGCAAGGTTTTCAGAGCCCTGCTCCATCACCCCGAGGAGGGGCAGTGACAAAGCAGCCATATCCCATTCGGAGGGTCACTTCTCTAAGAGTGATGCTGGGCCCCTGTTTCGGGGTAATAGCTTTATTTCCTATAGCATGTGTTATATGATAAGTTAGGGTTATTCATTTTGGCTCTACAAATCTCAAATCTCCGTGAAACTTTAAAATACTGATCCTGGGGATGGAGAGATGGCTCAGAGGTTAAGAACACTGGCTGCTCTTCCAGAGGACCCGAGTTAAATTTCTAGCAACCACATGGGTGCTCAAAACCATCTGTAATGAGACCTGACACTCTCTTCTGGTCTGCAGTCAGACATTCAAGCAGAATGCTACATACATAATAAACAAACACATAATAAATAAATAAATAAATGTCCTGAGTCCCGCTTGACTCATTCATCAGAATTCTTGAGACAACACACAGCAAAGGGAATTCTTACTTAGTTCTTGGGGCATCAGGAACCTTGACACTCAGTTGAAAGCCATACAACTAGATGCATCTCTAGCTGAGAGGAGGGCCTGGAGCTTATTGTTGGCCCTCAAGCACTTATCTTACCACACTGATGATCTGGATCAGCTGGAGGCCCACCCTGGATACGTGGGTGGTCCTATTCTTGAAACCCGCTTCATCCCTGGAGGCCAACACCTACCGGGTTGATGGCCACCACCTACCGGGTTGATGGCCACCACCTACCGGGTTGATGGCCACCACAGAGCCATCATAGGTCCAGGTGCCCAGCTTCATGCTGCAGTTCTGCTCATCGAAGGGAAAATGGGTGACAATGATCTCACAGTAGCTTTTGTAGATGGCTGGAGGCGTCCAGGTGATGTGGCCGGTGTAGTCCAGGAGCACCTTGGTGAATTTGACAATGGCAAAGTCGCCATCTGCACTATGATTGGGATGAGAGAGAAAAATGGCTCCAATCTTGCCTTCTAGTCTACTGCAGGGCTCCCTAAATTTCTCTTATAAGAAGCCACCCTGGAGTAATGGTCAAAAACCCCACATTCTTAAGTACTAACCAGGTACTTAAGTGATTACACCGCTCCAGCGGCTGGGATTAAGACAGTCTGGGCTACATAGGAAGACCTACTCTCTCTCAGTCAGTCAATGAACCAATGAAAGAAAGAATACAGATTCCTGAGCACTGAGCAAGCCCCAATTCAGATATCAAAGGAAGAACGTAGGAATCTACAGGCTTCGGGGACCAACAGGTGACATGGGCCCCTTGCACCTCAGTTCTCCTTTCCAGCCCCCAGAGACCCTCGCAATGTGAGCCCCCATCTGCGCACTTTGAGAGCCGACTGGAAAATCTGGAAACTTAAAACACTCCTAGTAGCTGAACACTGTGGGGGAGGACTGGGCCCTCCTGACGGTTGTTCAGAACTTGGTGGGCGGGACACAAACTCAGATGCCTTCTGGCCAGTAGGGGAGGGGCCGTTGGAGCTGAGAGAGAAGGGCACAGAGCCCCCAGCCATCCAAGCGAGGGAGGCCTTCAGCCCCAGGTTACCCAGGGAAGCCATGGGAGTCTGAAGACCCAGCGTGGCCACATAGCTGGATCCCTTCTCAGAAGCTGAAAACGTAGGTCTTTAAAAATATCAAAACGTCCATTTCCTCTAGTTCTGAGGATTCCGTATAAGGATTTCACGGATCAGACAAATCCTCTGCCACTAAGCTGCATTCCCCCCAGCCGTTTTTTTTAGCCATGGAGGTGCCCCCTATGGAACTGTGGAGAGAAAGAGAGCTCCCTGGGTTCTCACGGAAGAGAAGGCTCTGCTTCCATCAGCATCTCTGTACAGAAGCGCACCGCCTTCAGTGGAGGAATTTGGGTCAAGCTGGAATCCCAGCTATAGCTGGGCGGCGTGTGGTAGATGCTGGGAGGGCCGCCAGAGGGCATCATTTTCCTCCACCGCCCCCACCGGGAAATCAGCGGTGTGTGTGGGAGCAGGCTGCAAATCCTCTAGCTGACTGCGCATGCTCCTGCTCCTGCCTTGGAAGGATGCTCTTTGAAATGAATATTCCCTGACAAATGAAGGGCATATGATAATGAACGTGTCATTAAGCCAAGTGTCTTGAATCGCATTATAATTTCTCTGTGGCAGGGCCCCATGGATGGCAACCTAGGCATCCGGGTATTACTGCTGGGATGGCATTCAAGACGTGATGAATAAGACCCCCTGGGAGTTGAGACCCATTTGGTGGCGGGGGCGGCGGGGGTGGGTATTTGATTCCAAGAAACTCAGAGACGGAAGTCCAGGTGATTCGGATGGCTGCCACACGCCCCACTGCGGCTCTCCGGGATTAATGTCCCCACCCACAGCCCTGATTCAATTTGGCTCCCATAATTGTTTCTATTCATAACATGGGACGCCATATGGCACCCCTCGCCTGTCAACGTGGCTCTGATTTTAAGGGTTATTTAATGCAAACGGTGGGGAAACGCAGGTGGCAGTTTCTCTGAGGGGACACTTGGCGCACCCTTCATGGCTTTGCTTACTTGTTATAGAGAACGACGTCCGGCCGCCAGATCTTTTCCGAGGGGACGTGGATTTTTTTCACCCCGCCGTAGTCGTCTGGATTCCATTTCAAGTTGCAATCTACCCATTGCTAGGAAGGGAGACAGGTCCCTAATTAGACCGCGGAACCAGCGTCCTATCTAGAGAGATTCAGAGTCCCGATGGACCCGCAAGCTTTAGGAACGCCATGCCACAGGCTGAGTTCTGTTTCGGTGGAATTCACTCTTGCTAGCGCTAGCCCGTAATTCAGATGGGCCCCTAGTTGTATCGTTACAAAGAAACAAAGTTAAAACCAGTTCATTAGGTAAGCCCCAGTCCAATGGCCTTAGAAAAAGAGGAAATTTAAACACAAACACACACACCAAATTCACAGAGCGAATGTGTTAGCGAACATAACAACAGCTATCTACAAGCCTCGTAGAAACTTCCGAAATAGATTCCCCCTCAGTCCTCGGAAGGAAGCAACTCCAATGACACATTGACTTTGGAACATCTGGAACATCTGCCTCCAGAACAGCGCAATGATAAATCCCTGTTGTTGAAGCCTTCTAGTTTGTATTCCTTGGCTACAGTCTCCCTAGCAGATGAACCCACACAGAGACCAACAAACACAAAGAGAAAACTCAAATCAAACAGGACATTAGGATATTCCAGGTATATATGCTCCCCGCGTCCCAAGGGACCCACTTCAACATTTTTGTTTTCGATCCTCTTTCCTAGATTGATTTCATCCGGGCCCAGGTTTGATTTTAGGTGAATAAAAGGAACATAAAGGCAGTTACCCGGTTGCGTTACCTGTTTCAGACGGATGTTGGTGGTCACAATCTGATTGACTTCATCCTGTAAACAAGGAAGCCCCCTCTTTAGGGAATGTACAGGGAAGCTAAGGGGAGAGAATCCAGTGTGAGGGTGGGTGCCACACAGTGGGTGCCACAGGGAACCCCCAGCACCCATCTTACCACATTGATGAGCTGGATCAGCTGTAGGCCCACGGTGACCTGGACAATCTCCCGGTGGTCCTCCACCGGCCGTACCACACTGCTGTAGTCTTTAAATAGCTTTGCCACCAGACGTGTCTCATGCTCGGAGCCCAGAACCAGGCCAGCTGGGCAGCAAAGGACACATATCTTGTCAGATACTGTTTCCCAGCTTGTACATTCTCGCCAGTGCTAGAGGCATAGCTGGGTAACGAAGGGCACACAGAGCCCCTGTCAAAGGCAGCGCCCCCTCCCAAACACAGCTGCCGGTGTGGTCCCTTACCCAGAAACAGTTGGGTGGGATAACACATGCTCTTTCGATAGGTGACCTTACTTAATGCAGCCCCTGGCCATATCACGTTTTCCAGGAGACCACACAGAAAACACACACACACACACACACGAAGGCTAGCATGGGCGTTTTAGAGTCTGGATATGGTCTAAGACAACCTTGGACTGACTGGCCTCCTATTTCAGGATGCTAAGGACAGTATAAAGTGGGTGCTGGTTTACAACCTCCAGGCTGGCCACAGGGAACTAAAAGGAAAGTACTAAGTGTTGGCAAAGTCATAGAAAACTCGAGACCTCACATACTGTTGGTGAGAATATGGTATTTTGAGGTCCTCAACAATCTAAACCCGGAGTTGCTATATGATCCAGCAAGTTCACTCCTGAGTGTACACCCAAAGAACAACCAAACTACGTGTTATACTCAGATGGTGGAAACAGTCCCACGTGTCTTTAACAGATAAAGGGATGGATAAATTCTGGTACAAAGAGTGGAATATTATTAAATCATAAGAAGGGTATGAAGTGAAGATACTGTTGCAACATGGATACACCTTAAAAACATTCAGCTAGTGCAAACAGGTGTCAAGGGTATTGCTGATGGGACATCTGGACCCATAAATTCATGGTGGTGGAAAGACAACTGGGAGAACAGGGCCACTTAATGGTGCCGGGGTGTCCTCTGGAGACAACCAAAGAGTTCCAGAGCTAGGCAATAATGATAATATTGAACTGAGCTGTGCACTTTAAATGCTGAAACAGTCCAGTTTACACATGCATGTTTTACCTGAGTTTTCACAGAGCGCTGCTGGTAGAGCCGTGTGCCAATTAAAACAGAGGGAAAACTAGATCACAAACAAAACCCCTGTGCTTTGATGTCTCGGGTTAAGACTTCAAAGAACAGTTCTGTATGTCCTATTTCTGATGTGTGATTTACCTCTGTATGCTGTTATTACCATTGATAAATAAAGGAACTGCTTTGAGCCTATAGCAGAACAGGACAGAACAAAAGTAGGCGGGGAAAAACTAAACTGAATGCTGGGAGAAAGAAGGGCAGAGTCAGAGAGAAACCATGTAGTCCTGCTGGAGAGGGCGCCAGACCTTTAGCCACAACCTCCAGTTCAACAAGGAGGCAGGGTTTGTGGTACACAGTCGGGACAAGGTAGCGATCTCAGAGGGAACAGCTCCATGGGGAGCAGTCTTCAGGCCAGTGGGGAGAAAACGATGGTGGACATTTCTGCACACACGTTCACATTCACACATGCACCACAGGGAGGCTTTGCCATCTCGCTCTAAGCCTTGCCCTCGGGAAGCTTTCCTCTTCCTCCACAAGTCTGAGGCTCTGGGATGTCTGGCACGGTCCTGCCTGAGTCAACAGCACACATTCACCCAGGACTTCACCCACTCAGGGTGAAGTCTTCGTCTCCCACAGACTACACATGGGAAATCAACACGGGAAACTTTAAGTTTGACCAAAATACATAGCACACCCTTCTCTGAGCAGCTGCATCTGAATTTGTTGTCCTGAGAGAGCTTGTAGGTATTTTTTAGAAGCATGGCACTTGCGGATTTTCACTAAGGGGGCTGAAGAGATGGCTCAGAAGTTAAAAGCACTTGCTGCTCTTGCAGGGGACCTAATTTGTTCCCAGTGCCCACAGGGTGGCTCGTAAGTATGTGTGATTCCAGTTCCAAGGACTCTGATGCTCTCTTCTGACCTCTGTAGTCACTAGGAACATGTGGTACACATCCATGTTGGTAAAACATTCAGACATACAAAATTTTTTTTTTTTTTTTTTATATTTATTTATTTAGTATACAATGTTCTGTCTGTATGCCTACAGACCAGAAGAGGGCGCCAGATCTCATTACAGATGGTTGTGAGCCACCATGTGGTTGCCGGGAATTGAACTCAGGACCTTTGGAAGAACAGGCAATGCTCTTAACCACTGAGCCATCTCTCCAGCCCCCAAAATTTTTTTTAAAAATCTTTTAAATCTTTTAAAAATGAATTTTCCCTGAGTGTGGTGTTTGCAAACACACACATACTGAACCCGATTTGGTTGGCTCAGTTTCAAATTCCACAGGCTTTAATTGATCTGAGTTTAGATATTTTCCCTAAGTTTGCTATTGAAAGTGAGTATGTATTTGCACAAGCTCTTCGCCCTTGCCTGGAAGGCCTGTGTTGATTAGAGCCGTTTAGAGAAGGGAGCTGCGAGCCCTTGGCCTCCTTGCTCGTTGGCAGGATGATGTCATCAGGAAACATGCATAGGAAGTAATCAACACGCATCTCCTGTTTCCCTCTACCGGAAGTCTGGGTCTCAGATACTGTTTCAGCTGCTGGGATGTGACACATTCCAGAGCAGAGAGGAGGTCAAGGGCTTTGCAAGGTTTCATAAGTCCAACTCAAACGAAAGCTGACATATTAGTGAGGTCCTTAAAGAAGGGGGTGGGGCGAGAGGGCGGCAGCTGCGCCTTTATATGGACTTAAAAAAAACCTCTGAAGTTGGAAAAAAAAATGACAAAACCTGTTCTCTGTAGAGACAGTTTAAACCTACACTGATGAACAGGTTTCCCTTCCCGGCACCTGTAGCTGCCAATCAATTCCCTTCATTCTCAGACAGCTTCTAGAGCCACAAAAGTCCCGTGAATGTCGTTATTTGTGACGCTGCATTGTTGGTGAGTTCCAACACGCCATCACCTACAGAAGTTCACACCTCAAACCATGCGATCAAGTTACCAAAAAAAAAAAAAAAGTAAAAAAATAAAATAATCAAAAATAAATAAATAAGACTTAAGTAAGTTTATGATTTTGTATTGGGACATGTTCCTAGGTATCTTTGAGCACACGCAACCCTCAGGTTGTGTGTTGCACATGCCTGCTAGGGGGTTGAACGTGAAGGCAGTGCCCATTGTCTACCGGTGGCCCAGACCATACAAGTAATGCCAGGATGTTCACGTGGCTGCGTCTGGGACCAGGCAATAATAGAGCAACCAGGATATTTTGCTCGTGGCCTCTGACTAAACAGCTTCCACTTTAACTAGGTAAACAAGCTAAAAATCCAGGAGTCCCCTTGAACCAATGTCTAGAAATGACTGGTCGCGAAGCCTGTGGCTGGTGTGTCTGCATCCTGTGTTCCCATCAAAGAAGAAAAACTGAGGTTTGGTAGTGGGGTGGGGGGGGGAGTTAGCACTTCAGACACAAAGCAGGGACCCCATCCCTAGGAGCACTTACCGGAGCAGAGGCCTAGCAGAAGGAGGAACGCTGGGAGCTCCATGGGCTGTGGGCACTGGTGTGGCCTCCAGCAGCCAGCTGCCTGCCCTGCGCCCTGGCACTCTGTCTGGAGCTCAGCTGCTGGCGCTGGAAGCCAGCTGACTCTGCGGCTATTGCCTTACACCACCTGTGTGCGTGTGTGACAGCTGAGCTGCCCACAGCCCCAAGGCCCAGCGAGCCACTCAGGGGCCTTGGGCTGCAGTCGCACCTCGCTTTAAGGAAGCATTATAGTCATGCTGGGCGTAACTACACGAACGCCCACATGTATCATGAGTTGGACACTTTGTTTGTGCTGAAGATCAATTTCTGACCCTCACACATGATAGCTAAATATAGACGAAATAAAAATAGCAAAAAAAAAACCCAAAAAACAAAACTCTACCCCTGGATGACACCCCCAGCCTTACATATGGGGTTTTGAAATTACATTTATTTGCTTGTTTGCTTATCTATCTATCTATCTATCTATCTATCTATCTATCTATCTTCTATCATCTGTCTATCTATCATCTATCTATCATCAATCTATCTTCTATCTATCTATCTATCATCTATCTATCATCAATCTATCTTCTATCTATCTATCTATCTATCTATCTATCTTCTATCATCTATCATCTATCTATCTATCCATCCATCCATCTATCTTTTATCATCTATCATCTGTCTATCTATCATCTATCTATCATCAATCTATCTTCTATCTATCTATCTATCTATCTATCTATCATCTATCTATCATCAATCTATCTTCTATCTATCTATCTATCTATCTTCTATCTATCCATCTATCTATCTGAGGGTAGTGGTGGGTATACCCTGGTGCCTGCGTAGGTAAGATAACTATTTTCAGAGGTTGGTTTTCCTATTATGTGGGTCCTGGGGATCAAACCCAGGTCATCAGGCTTGGTGGCAAGCACCTTTCCTTGCTGAGCCATCTTGCTGGCCCAGGAGTCATTATTAACGGAAAACCTTGTGCATGAATCAGTGGAGGTCATGGGTTTGAGTGGACGCCAGTTTGTGTAAGCATCCTTAATCATGCAGGTGCACACTCCCTAAACAAGAATGCAGTTCCGTGTCACAGGCAGGCTGAGCAGGCCTCCATCTTCTGCGCCTGCCCAAGTTTGGGGAGACTGGTTGCTGTTGAGTTAACGGCTGGAGATGTCCGTATATGATCATAGCAGCTTCTAGCAAAGACAGCTTTCCTGTGAATTGGTTTCCTGGGGCCCCAAGTGGCTGCCCCTCCTAGGGGCAGAACCTAGCCCACCCAGAGCTGTTAGCCGAACCCACCGCAGTTTCCTGTGTCCTATTATTACAGCAGGGCACTTTGTGGGAACAGGCGTACCGCCCCAGTGGTGTTTGTTCCAGATTTTGGCTTCCTGCTGTCCCTTCTCAATCTGCCCTCCCTTGGGGAACACAGAGGGCAGAGTAGTTCAGCTTTTCAAGCCCTTTGCTTAGAAGATCCCTAAAAACAAGATTGGCTCAGCAGTGAGCAGCTAGCAATGGTTCACTTTCAGAAAGCAGTCCTTTGATGACATCCTGCCTGTTCCCTGCAACCTCCTACTTCCT